AAAGATTTTTTTTTTTCTGTTGGATCATATTCCACCATATATATCCACTTGCAATGAATCAAAATTTAATATTTTGGAAATTACACCAACTCCCATATCTAATTATTTACCCGCAATCTATAGTAAGATTTCACTCAAACTTATTAGTAGAGGCTTGAGTTTATTTAGGAAGAATTATTACTTTTTCCAAGCAATGTCATCACATCTTCTATATGAATACCTAAAATTCCGGAAGCTGTCACGTAGCAAAAATCTGATAATGCATAGCATGCCTGATCATTGCTTCTTTGACTTCGATTGCTATAGTCTATCCAATCAATACAATAAGCATTGGAAATTCACTCTCCAACTCCTCTTTTTACTAGTTCAATATGCGTTTTCTTAAATTATCAAAAAATAATTATATAATTTTTTTATACTCTCGTGAGAATCTAATGTAAATCGTCACATGACTTCTCTATTGTTCAGCTCAATATGCCCTTCCTTACATTAATAATAATTTTTTATATGATTCTTTATACTCCCGTGAGAATGAAATGTCAATCGTCACATGCTTTCTCTATTGTCCAGGGCAATGTCGTAATGATAGAACCAAAGACTTATCTGAAATCCAGAGTGGGAGATTCACGGAAATAGCGGGTTACCTCACCATACTCTCAGACAATCTTTCACTCCCCATCAGATCTCATAGTGAGCTGGAAAGAAGAGCACTGCTTGCATGAAAAGCTGATTTTCATGTTCAAACACAGTTTTCAGAGGTTCCGTGAAGACGTCGATAGCATCATAATCAGTCTTCGCGCAATACTACGAATTTATGCAAAAGCTTAAGGGAAAGCAATCCTAGTTTTTAAATTTGTAAAAGGCTTAAAATTCAGACGCAGTTCAGTGTACATACAGAGAGCAAGATCACCACGGGCCGTATCTAGGTCGTCAATTAAAAAAGACATTGTACCCTCAATCTTTGAACAGGAGTCTCATATCTCGATCGTATCATCTGATGCTCTAGAAAACCTCCGCACTCGAGACTTGCGTTATCCGGTCCTCATATTACCGCAAGTAGTAGAAGAATCTGTTCATTTGACTGCGCCTCACGGAGAAGGTCATCCGAGTCCATGTGTCTGAAAGGATCGTCTGTGGAGAGGGTGCAGCGAGCAAACAGAGGGGATTTATGGCACGCGGAGATAAATGAAAGTGGATAGGATTAAATCTTGAATTCAAGATCGACGGCCCAACTTCCTCGGGATCGACTGCGCCAAGTGGCGAGGTTCTTTTGGAGTCGGGGGCCACACTCTGCAGAATGGCATGGTGACAAAAATAACGGAGCGGGAAACAGGATTGCCACATGGCGCGGCCTTAAGGGCGGGGCTGTGGAGAACAAAGCAGAGGCCGACACATGGCAGCGCCAAGTGGCCTCGGGCTCTGTGGCCTCCCGCCGCCTTCTCTCTCTTCTATACGATCGTCCCGTTCGGACTCTCCCTCCCAAACAAAACCATGGAAACTAGAATTCCATGGAGAGCAGCGCTTCCTCAGACAGCAGCAGCAGTTTTTACTCTGAACTCGAGCGCGCTCGAACTCAAACCCGAACTTTGAACCACTGGGATTATATTCCTGCCTTGAGGCCGCAGCAGCCCACGGGGAATTGGCAGGCAGCAGTCGCCATTTGTCGGAACAGCTGCGAAGAGCAAGAGATGGGAAGAGCAGAATCAAGGCAAAGCTGGGCTGAGCTGGGATATCTTCTGTTCACGAGTTTGGTAGACAGGAAGTGAAAGAAGACAACAACAACAACAACTGCAGAAACGTCGATAGAAATGTGGGCACGAGTTACAACTAGCTGCTGTCAGAACGAGGCGAGAGGTCGATCGAATGAGGGACAATCGATTCAGCTGGGTCCGAGGCCTCGTGACGATGCATTTTCTACAGGGAACATTTTGAGAGTCGGGCAGGTGAGCTTGCGAGGTTCTGTAGGTTGCATCCCACGGACGCGGATTTGACGAGGGCCCTTGGCGATTGTTGAGTATATACAGGCAGTGAATAAAAAATGTATAACTTTTAGAGTATTGCAAGAATCTTTAGGAGCGATGCGAACCTCCACGGTTCGACGCTGCATTACGGTCAGCACTTCGGGGATATTGCCGCAGACAGATGGAAAGGTGCTGGAGTTTCTGGATCGGGTGCTGGCAGTTCGAGCAGTGCAGGACTACTCGGGGCACTCGGTCGTGCGGTACAAGTCTCAGTGAGTAACTCGAACATCGTCGTCGTCATCTTCTTCAGCTGCGGCTGCCGCCGCAGGTTCCAGTAGTGATTGTAGCACTAGTTCCAGGAACAGCGGAAAGATTCAACATATTCAGTCTTGGATGCTGAAAGCGTGCTCTCTTCTACTCCCGGACGGCGAATATAAATGGTGTTGACTGGATCTCATTCATAACATGCACGTAATGCTAATCAGATTATTGTGTCGTTGGTGTAATTAATTGAGATGAAAGTGCTTCTGGAGGTTCGTGTTCGATAATCAGCATCTAATACAATAACAATCTTCTGACTCACAAATTGTTAGACGAAACAACTTCAGAATTCTCTTTGAGATTGACTGGTCTGAGGATGCTTGAGATCCTTCAAAGGATTATAGAATCTGAAGGTTGACACAGATTGGACAGGTAGGTATTCTTCTCAGTTGAATTGTTTCCACTTCAGAATACCATAATCACTGTGCAGAAAGATGAAGTTTTCATCACTCAGTACCCTCCGTCTTTGATATCCTTTGACCACCTAATTGTACACAGACAATCTCCCCAAATATGACATTAACATACTTAGAACGTAATACTGCATCAATTTAGTGTCCGTCACGAATCCTCCATAGAACAAGATTTTTCCCGTATTTCGAAGTGATATTTGCATCAGATAATTGAGCTAGCAATTCGCGGATTGAAATGCGTTGTACTTGAACATTTCACCAGTCACTCTCTGCTTCTTCCTGACTGTTCAGGTTTAGATCAACGAATATGTGCTCGAACTTCAAATGCATCGCTGGCAGCTCTCCGTAGCATGTCGGACTGAATGTACACTATCCTCAGTCGAAACCATCTGCGACGTTTACTTGCCTTACAAAGAATACTGCATTGAATATTGCAAATTTAGATTCCATCTAGAAGAAACTTAGAAGTACTTCAGAAATTGTCCACTGTAGACACAAGCATGGCTCATTAGAGCTGAAGGTGGTTCTATTTAATACGTAAGATTATCAAAATGTGAAGATTGCGGAACTAGAGCTTTTACGGCGGCCAAGATGCCCAAGTCAATTATCAGATCCTTCCTATTTATAGAAGAACATTAGCCTGTTCATGCACGGAAGGTCCTTCCATCTGATTCTTCGTTAAGTCTTGAATGGACCGGTTAAATTCTTTTCACCGATCCTGGTATTACCTTCCGCATGCGGTCGTAGGAATCTCCAAACTTTCCGGACGTCGACTAAAAGATACTAAGAGATACTACTGCAATTTGGAATTGAGATCATCCTAGATTCTCTGAAACTTCCAGACCTGCCTTTTTGTTACTTTCAGAAAATTTTACAACTCACTAAATCTACCTTTCAAAACCGTTCCGTTAAGAAAAATCGATCTTCGTACGAGTGCGGCGAGCTCCTTTGGCGTCCAAAATAATAAACCTTATCCACTTTCCTCAGCAGAAAGCACAGCTGGAGAAAAGTATACGACATCTGATGTCTATGTTCGAAACTGTAAGTCCACAAGTGGCATGTCGAAGAAATGGAAAGCCATCTGAGTCTCGGGGTAGTCTCCTTGTACCCGGCAATTGTCCTGATCATCTATCTATTTTTCTCCTGATATGATATTACTAGACGGATTAACTATCCACACGGTTCAAATATGAATTAACTCTTGACCTCAAGTCTTGTTCATGGTCAAAGAGTCCAACGAACATCTATGGTACCTTTATCCGTTCCGCTGATCGAAGCGGTCATTGATTGACAGAGATTTCACCTTTTAATCCGTGGACGATCAGTACACCGTACACAATTCGTGCTATTCTAGAAACTTCCAGAGTGATGAGAAGCGAGTTCTCAGCCCAGTTATATTGCTCAGCTCGAAACTTGATCCCGCAGTGTGATAGTCTGCGTTTTGTCTTCATCTTTAGCATGCCTCATCGCTAATCCGTTCTCCCACAAAATTAGCTTCACCATGTGTCACCCTCACCACTCACACGTCTTTCTTTTACACGCTTGTGTCAGGCTGACTTCTGGGGAAAATTGTGAGAAACTCCTGACATGGTTGTTTAGATGGTATTCTAAGAGCTGACGAAGAATCGCCATGATCTACAGACACAGCGCCATTTGATCGGGGAAAATCCTTGGGTTCTGAAGGCGTGAAGTTCCAAGCTCTCAGATGCTCCGGAAGCTCATACATTATAAAAAATATAGTGCATGTAGTGATTACAGGCTCTCGAAACAGTCTCATATTGCCATTCAATATATGCTGTTTCCGATGGAGAAATTGGTGAGAGGAGTACAGAATGTGATTCGGAAGCGCTGGCCACTTGTTGTGCATCTGTTGTTCTTCATTACTATATTGGAAACAGTTGTGGCACAGTTATCGAACACGTCCAGTGCAGGAACAGATTTTGAGGCGCTTCTGAATATCAGACAGTCATTCGCAAGCACTTCTCTTTCTACAAATTGGACCGGATCGAGCTTTTGCAGTAATTGGATAGGAGTGACGTGCAACAACGAAAGCCGGGTGGTCAAGCTAGATCTGAGTTCGAAGTCACTCGCTGGTACCATTTCTCTGGCTCTTGGAAATCTTACTAGTCTAGAGACCCTTGATCTTCATGACAACCTACTCTTAGGATCAATACCAAACGTCTTCTACAATCTTTCCTTTCTCAAAGTCCTAGACCTTGGTCAAAACCTGCTTGACGGACCTATTCCGGATTCAGTGTGCTCATCCTCATCATCGAGTCTGCTAAAACTATCTCTGGCAAACAACAAGCTTACAGGAACGATACCCACTCATTTAAATCTTTGTACAAACCTGCAAGGTATTTATTTGGGTGGAAACAACTTCACTGGATCTATACCTAATTCGTTCAGAAACCTTTCCAATCTTTTAACTCTTGACATTTCCTTCAACAGACTGACGGGGACCGTCCCGACCCTTCCAGATAGGTTAGAGACTTTGACACTGAAAAATAACATTCTGACAGGTGATCTCACCAATCTGTGTGGAAACATCCCGAGTTCCTTGCAATTACTGAGCTTATCGACAAATTGGCTCGGAGGTGAAATTCCAAGAGAACTAAGCACCCTTGCAAAACTGAGCAAGTTGGAGCTCAATGGGAACAGGTTTTATGGATCCATTCCCGACACATGGAAACCGGACACACTACCTAGTCTCGATACTCTAGATTTCAGCGAGAATAATCTCTCTGGTGTTATCCCACCCAGCATTCAGAACCTTACAACTCTGACGGTACTCAAACTGGACCGTAATCACTTCTCAGGGAGTATTCCCGGGTCAATAGCGAACATGCGTCTTCTGCACACCATCAACCTTGCACAAAATAACCTCACTGGAGACATTCCGCCTCAACTTGTTAACCTCTTGCACGTCAGTTGTCTCAATCTCAGTTGGAATCAGTTGACTGGTGTTGTCCCAGACGGATTCTTCAGACTAGAGCAGTGGATAGGTGCAACTCTCAGATTTGATAACAACTCAGGCCTTGAGAGGAATGTTACATTTGGACCGCCAGTGATTGCTCATGAGGGTTCACAACCAGCGGATGGAAGGTCCTGGACGCTTAAGATGATTCTCACTGTCGATGGATTTCTGGCTTTGATTGACGCTTACGCTCTGTTACTGTACTTGAGAATACGGAAGCCGAAGAAGGAGAAGAATGAACCTGTACCTATGTGCGAGCCCAGCAGCGAATTCTCGGTTTCTGTGGAAGTGTTGAGGAAAGCTACCAACAATTTTCACGAGGACAACATCGTGGGACATGGTGCCAGAAGTATCGTCTACAAAGGAATGGTGGGAGTTGGTCAGATAGCTGTGAAGGTCCTGAGGAAGGAGAACGCAGAGAGGAGCAGAGAGTTGCTGCTCCGAGAGCTCCACACTATGGGAAGCGTTAGACATCGCAACGTATTGAGGATTCTAGCAGTGTGCCCCGAAATGGACAGTCTTGTGCTGGAGTTCATGCCGTTCTCCAGTCTCGAGTTCTACCTGTACAAGATGGTCGGCAGAGTCTGCCTCAGCTGGGATACCCGATTCAAAATTCTAGTGGGTATTGCACAGGGCTTGGTTTATCTGCACAGGGAGCACCAAGAAACCATTATTCATTGCGACTTGAAGCCCAGCAACATTTTGTTGGACGCCGATTTTGAGCCAAAGGTGGCGGACTTCGGCATCGCCAAGTATGTGCACGCTGGCACTAGCGGAGATGCCTCCATGTGCGGACTCTGTGGAACCACCGGCTATATCCCTCCGGGTAACTAATGAGATGGCTCCTGGAAAATTCCCGTCTGAAAGTCTACATGTGAACATGCCTTTCCTGATCACATTAGAGAGTCTACACTCTTAGGCAACATATAGCTCGCTCTAAGCCCCGATTCCCAAATGTTGCTGCGTCGTGAATGTGGTGAGCAGCCATGTCCCCCGTTCTATCGAATGGAGGTTATCTGACTCACGTCCATGTGGATGCAGAGTACGCATGGGCAAGTCTGGCGTCAACCAAAGGAGATGTTTTCAGTTTCGGCATTGTGCTTCTCGAGACTTTGACAGCAAGGAAGCCTTATGGAAATTGGGATGTCGAGGAAGGGCAACCTGGAAGCTTGGTGGAACTCGTTAAATCTGCCTATCCTGATAAAATCATGAGCATCTTGGACGCCAACATGGTCGCACTGGAACTCGTTGGCGGATTGTATCGACAAGAGGTAACGCTGGTAATGAAAATTGGTCTTCTGTGTACGCAGGACGATCCAAGGAACAGACCAGATATGATAGACGTTCTGAATATGCTGACAGAGATCAAGATACAGAGGTATACGGAAGCTGAAAACGATAAGCTGCCTGATGTTCATGAGCTCGCGAATTCTCCAACTGTTTGGGATTTCGAGGAAAATCAAACATCACCCATGTAAGACTTGTCCTCTATTTTATACAGGGATCGATTCCTCTGCCTCTTTGTTTTCATTAATTCATAAAGATTTCATGCTGAGACTGGTTAGTTCTCGTTCATTCCTTCGCTCCGCAGCAGCAATTCGGTTTCAGTATTCATCACAAGACTTACTGGGCTCTAGTCTAGCTGCCGATTCTTTACAATGACTGTGCCCGTAAACTTTCTTTCCCGACAGTCTGCGGATGACGGAGGAGACAAGGCTGGAAGATTGGATAGCGAGGAGACAGAGCTGGAGGAATTGAAAGCAAGAAGTACCCGTTGATCATGGTATTGGGCTTCACCTTACTTTCTGATTCACACTGTTAGCAAGATGATTTTCCTTTTACAAGATCGCGACAGCGAATTAATAACACGTCAGCAGGACCTGTTGATAACGGTCAGTTTCTTCTTCACCGAAGACCACCGAAGGTCAGGTTGCGTGCCTAGTTTCCGCACCGAACGAAAGTCTTGACGTGCGTGACTTCTCGGCTCACTGTTGTAGCATATTTGACTTCAGCTCTACATGTACCCGTAATAAGAACAGCATAATTTGGCTTCCCTCATCTCTTACTATGAGTATGTAATTGGGTTCAGATTCTTTATAGATACAGAAATGTTGATGAGTCTCTCGATCTCTTTAAACATTTTTTTTGTGTCAATTGTTTTTTTAGAGCAAAAAGTAGTTGTTTTGAGCATGACCTTTGAAACTGGCATCATGTGTAATCTGTTTTCTTGCCTGCATGTGAGTTGCGGCAAACAGCTTTAAGTAGTTGATTGAGGTGTATTATTTTTAATATATAAAGGTGTCAAAACTCCAATGCGTTGTGTGTGAAGGTTTTATTTCTGCAAACCATCTTTGTGTAATTCGATTCTTGTACAGTTTGTCTTGATTGTACAAACGTAACGGTAACACCCTTGTTTTGTTTCGCTTTTATTGATCTTGTGTGACATCTTGAGTAAGAAGATTGAAAAGTGAGAGTGATCTTTTGTGCAGCCTTGAGATAGTGTGAGTAAGAAGATCAAGACAATGAGTGTGATCTTTTGTGAGTACTTTGTGTTATTACACTGGTATGAGTGCAAAGTTGAGGTTACAAGAAGGTATTGTTGTTGAAACGTGACAGTCCATCTTAAATTTAAGTGAAGGAGGAAGTGTTGTACGATCAACATGGAGTATGATGAAACAAACATATGATGTTTCGATGGCAAAAATTTTGATTATTGGAAGCTACACATGATTTATTTGTTGTATGTAAGAGAGTTAGAGGATGAGATGTTTGATTACAAATCCAACATCATGGAGAATAAGATGTGAAAGAAACTAGATGTTCGTGCACTTGGCCTCATTTCTAGTACCATCTCAATGGATATGGTTTCACATGATGCCAATGAGACTACAACTTTTGGATTTATCAAAAGACTTTCTCATTTGCTTGAAAAGCCTTCAAGTTCCAACAAGATTCATCTTCTACCACGCCTATTTCTATTACAAATGGCAGAAGACTTGTATGTGATAGAGCATGTAGCAGACTTTAATCATATCCTGAATCAACGGTAGTCGATTGCATATCCCTTGGATGATGAATTGCTTGCACATCGCTTGTTAATTTCTATGTGTGACAAAGCATGTAGCCGACTTTAACCATATCGTGAATCAACTGAAGGCGATTGCATATTCCTTGGATGATGAATTGCTCGCACATTGCTTGTTGATCTCTATGTGAGAGATTTGGTCAACTACCGTAGAGATGATTTTTTTTGTCAAGAGAAGTTAATTCTTGACTATGTTCGTGACCGCATCATTAGCGAATATATTCAAAAAAATGAGCAAGGTGAAAATATCGGCCCCTAAATGTTCAAATGTATTGAGGGATTTCAAGGGAAGAGAATCAAAGTAGATCCAAATCAAAAGTACGGAGTAAGTCTTGAACTAAAGATGACATGGAGTGCTAGAATTGTGGCAGAAAGTGTCATTTGAAGTGTGACTGTAAGGAACTTACAAAGGCGAAGAAGAAAGGAAACGAGTCAAACTTGGTGGATGCAACAACCAATGAAGACTCAAATGATGCTCTAGTTTTATGTGTAGACAACAACACAATCAAATCTTGGATTTTAGATACATGTGCTTCTTTTCATTTTATTTCTTGCAAAAAAATCAAGAAAATTTTTGCAACTAAAGAAGATGAAAAAGTATTTTTAGTGGATTGTAATATTTTTGAGATTACGATCAAGTATAATGTTCGTATTGAGTTGAACAACGCTCACATATGAACATTGCATGATGTTTGTTACATTTTTGGATTTAAAAAAAAATTAAACAATGTGGATCAATTGGATGATGTGGAATATAGGAGCATCTTTGGAGAAGATTTTTAAAGAATAGTATAAGGAGTTATAGTTGTAGCACGAAGCACCGAGACTTGTACACTTTATCCAACAGACAAGAGTGTAGACTTGATAGCAGAGGAGGAGTAGGAAGTTCAAGGTAATATGCCACGTTTATCTACGATTCCACTTGCAAGGTATGGAAATACTTTCTCAAAGACAAATTCAAAGTGTTTGAGGTTTTCAAGAAGTGAAATTCAAAAATAAAACCGATCAAAAGCTGAATTGTTTGAGATTGCAGAATGATGGCAAATATGATAGAGCAAATTTCAAGTCATATTGTGAGAACTAGGGAGTTAAGCTAGTGCAAAAAGTCCCCCACACACTACAACAGAATGGGATTGTTGAGAGTATGAACCAAATTTTCAACGAACATGTTAGAGCAATGCGATTTCACACAGATCTTTCAAAGATGTCTTGGGCAGAGTCAATCAACTTGGGTACTTACCTTATCATTTGAAGTTCCTCATTGGCCCTAGATTTTGAGTTGGCCAAGAGAAATAATTACGTAAAAATTTTCTCATTTGAAAATTTTTGAATGCACAACATATTTGCATGTGGACTCAAACAAACAACAACAGTTAGATGCAAAGGTCAAGAAATGTATTTTTGTTGTATATGTATCTTATTATTTTAGGTAGAGAGTTTAGGATAAAAAAGTCAGAAATTAATTAGATCCCAAGATATTATCTCCAACAAAATTGAATTAAAAAAAAACTCCATATCTAATAAAATGAGAGAGATTGATCAAGATAAATTGGCAAATTCCAAATGGTTTGATGTAATCATCTTTAGTTGATTAAAACTAAAGTAGAGTTTACTCTAAATGTTCATATAGATACTTTAGCATGCACAAGTCATAGCTATCACGTCAGCGATCCGCGCGTTAGGTAGGTAGAAAGTATGTGTGTTAGTTGACAGTGTCACGTCAACGATACGTGTGCTTGTTAGATAAAAACTGAGTGTGTTAGTTGAAAGTGTCACGTCAACAATCTGTGTGCTTGTTAGAGTTATCCGCCACGTCATTCATTCACTAAGAGTGGAATGGATGATGGAGATAAGATCTTATATCATTGTACTTGTTGGTGAGAGCTATATAATGGAGAGAATAACCATTGTTGGTATTTCTCATCTTCAGACTTTATGTTTCTATCTTCGAGTGAACTTCTATCAAAATCTTAGTGTTATATTTGACCAGTAATGAAAGTATAGAAGATGATGCAATCTAAGAGTATCATGAAACCGATGATGAATTTGATGATTTTGTGGGAAAAAAATGTAGATAATGATCTGCAATCTCAGGATTGATTTTCACTCAGATTTGTCTCTGATGGCTTTTTGATAATTTATCATGTAACTAGAAGTCTAAGATTACTTCTCATGGTCATGTCCCAAGCACCATCTTACACAATCTCTCCACTCATGACTCAAATCACACACACATCAACACTTCAAGATATTGAAAATTTCCCTCCTTCATTGATGAAACAAGTCTCTACATAATTGAACTCTCCAATTTTGCTTGAGAGTTTGTTCTCTACCTCTCTACTTATACTACTTGAAATATTACCATAGTAACATATAAAAATTATCTTTCAACTTACTTTCACTAAGATAAATCTTGGTAGATTTTACTAACTTCCCATACGTGATAACATGCCATTATCATATGTAAACCTTCTAGAAGTTTTTCAATCTCGAGGTTGAGGTAACGAGTCTTTCAAACTTCTAGAAGCTTTCCTTGCCTCTAACTAAACATGGGTCTTAGTGTAACCAATGAATTTTCATACACTAAGGAAAATAAACCAAATATAATCTTATAGTCAAAAGTCTTTTGTCTTGGAATTAAGACTTTTGTAAAAGACAAAATATAAATGCTCATTACAATCTTCTAGAACTGCTCTAATTATTTTGCCAAGTATAGACATTATAGCTAAAGTTCGTACTTGTTAGATAAAATTAATTATAACTAACTAGACTTATCTATATCTAGGCTAATCATACTTCACTCCTTGACTATTTCTAATACTATAACACACATACAACAACCGATCTTAGAGATCAAGCAAATTTCATTTCACAAGAATTGGTATTGAGAAGGTATATTCAAGCTCGGAAATCTAACAGTAGATATATATCTTCCCTCAATTTTACTTTTGACCGATTTAGGTGAGCTTGAAGACTACAATGCGACCATAGATTCAAATGATGAGGTCAAGTGAAAGCATGCTATGAAGGAGGAGTTCAAATCCTTGGAGAAGAACAAGAAATGGATCTTGATTCAATTGTTGGAAGTAAAGAAGTGCTACAAAATAATTGGATGTATCGAGTCAAGGAAGAAAAGAATGGCAATAAGCGTTGCAATATGAGATTCATGGTCAAAAGTTTCTTGCAAAAGAAAGGTATTGATAACACCAATATCTTTTTACCTGTGATGAAACTTACAACCATTCAAATAATTCTTGTTATTGTGGCAGCCAAAATCTTGCACCTTGAACAATTCGATGTGGAAACCGCTTTTCTTCACGGAAATTTGGATGAGAAAATCTACATGATGTAGCCTGAGTGTTTTGAAACTTAGAAACAGACCGTCCTTGTGTGCAAGTTAAATAAAAGTCTATAAAGTTTGAATCAAGCGCCGAGACAATGGTTAAAAAGTTTGACAAATTCATGAGTAGTCATAGATTCAAACAAGAAGACATTGATCATTGTTGCTACTTCAATGATTTTGGTGACTCTTATGTTATTTTGCTTTTGTATGTCAATGACATGCTCATTGTATGTTCAAATATGAAGAAAATCATCATATTGAAGCAACAATTGGCACAAGAGTTTGAGATGAAGGACTTGGATGCAGCAAGTCAAATTCTTGACAGCCAAGAGATAGTGATAATAACACTCTTGTTTTGTTTTAGTTGTACAGTTAATCTGTCTTGACTATATAGACAATAACATTAAATTTTTATTTATTTATTTTTGACTGCAGAAACAGTAACTGTAAGAATCTTCTTTTGTTTTGTTTTTATTGATCTTCTGTGATAGTGACTTAGTGACTGTGTGAGTAAGAAGATCAAGATAGTGAAAGTGATCTTCTGTGCAGTCTTGAAATAGTAAGAGTAAGAAGATCAAGGTAATGAGAGTAATCTTTTGTGAGGACTCTGTGTTATTACACATACATCGAATCACAAATTCCAATCAATTGAGCCGACCATGGTCATGTTGTCGTGGAATTTATTTGAGGCTTGAGACTACAGTGTAGTTAGTGATTTGTGTGAGTATAAATTAAGGAGAAAAACCATAAATAATGTGGGTGCTATATGTGTTTATTGTAACTAGAAATGAGTGTAGTACGTATTTCCAAGTTAAGTACAAACTTGTACTACGTGTTGTTAGAGTTGAATGTACTACATACTTTCAAGTTGTACTTCAAACTTGTAACTAGAGTTGAGTGTAGTACGTATTTCCAAGTTAACTACAAACTCGTACTACGTGTTGTTAGAGTTGAATGTACTACATACTTTCAAGTTGTACTTCAAACTTGTACTAGAGTTGAGTGTAATACGTACTCTCAAGTTGTACTACAAACTCGTACTACATATTATACTAGGGTTGAGTGTACTACATACTTACAAATTGTATTACACACTTGTATTATAGTTGAGTGTAGTACAAACTTCCAAGTTGTACTACAATTATACTACTAACTTTCTACGTTTTACTTTTGAAAGTTTTTTAAAAAAGCTATTTAGAAAAGAGTAGGCGGTTCCTTCCCCTCAGTCCCAACTTTGCATTTTCACACGTTACTTCTTGAGGATTTCCGCAATTCTTTTAGGATTTGTGTTTGTTTAAAAAAATATTATTTCTGGGAGACTTAACATTGAATGATGCGGTATTTGACGAAGCCGACGAGAGTAGTAAGTAAGGAAAGGTGTTTCTTTTTTCCCATATGATGTACTTTTGATAGAAAAGTGGTTTTACAGATTATATATCATTTTTTCAAAGCAATCTCCAAATATTTTATTGATTTTAGAGCCAAAATTGATGTATGTCTCAAATTTTGTTTCAAGTCTAGATCATATGTAGATAGAAAGTTATGAGTGTTGGAAGTTAAGAAGTTTTTCATAATCACCAATATTTTGATCTTGGACAAATTTTTACAGAGTGAAATAATATGTTTTTATTCCAATTCATCGTTCAAAATTTTATGAGAGTGTTTATTTCTATGTGTCAATCTTAATTTCACTAAAACATCACGTCTAGAAAAACAGTTATGTCATTTTGAAGATCAGGGTTACAAAACCAAGAAAATATATCAAAATTTTTAATTTTTTTTCCCGCAGTTTTTGTCCTGTTGAGAGCGTTTTTGGAAAGAGATGTTTCGAGTGTTTTCACCTTATGTGTTTGCCGTATTAGTGTGATGGATTTTTGTTGTTACTAGGAGCCAAGTCTCAGCGCTTTCTTCAGCAACTCTTTTCCCCTGTACTACGTAGCGTACATATTTTTGAAAAGTGATCAACCTGATGAGTGAACATATACTCTACAATTGTGTGGATGCACGCACAACGTCTCTCTCGATGACAACTACTTCGAGAAATGATGGAGCTAGAGTTGGATATATGCAATGATGCTTGCTTGATGAAGAGATTGAAGATAGATCATTGGTCATGATGATCTGATGGTGAACTTTAGTACATGTTTATGCTGCAGAATATGTAGATAGATCCTTAGTCTTGTGAGCGACACAAGTTTCATGTGCCTATTTCTACATTCATAGAGCCAATAGATTATGTAAGAGAACTAAATAGTGAGATAGCAATTCTCGTCCAAAAGGATGAATCCGCATTCTACTATTTACTTGAGTTTCTCATTTACAGTTGTGCCACTCGCTAAAATGAGGACTTGCAATTGTCGAGGACTCCTTTGCTTTGAAACTGACTTTGTAGGTAAAAATTTTGAGTTAGCCAAATATATTTGAATATCTTGATCAAAATATAGTGAAAGATCTTGCATTCAAATTTCAGAATTATACTATGAGTTTCAAAGTTTATTCTTTGTTTAACTAAAATTTTCAATTTATTATAAATAATAATTTGACTCTCATTTTGATGCTCGTCTTTCATGATTCATGTGCAATTATATGATTTATTTTTCAATTGTATTTGGTTAGATTTTGAGCATCACGAAGATATTTTCTACAAATTTTTCTCAAATCAAACATTAGCCGTATCAACAATAATGTATATTTCATCAATAAAGAAGTATATAAATTCTTATTCTTTGATTTTTAAAATATCATTGTGATGAGTTGTAATTTATGAAAAAAAGTACTAGATGTTTCATCATTTTCGTGAATACAGTATTATATTTCAGATTTTACTAAGTATTACTACTATATTACTACACATTACTATATATGTATCATGACCGTTTTGATATTTTGCATCTAAAAGTAATTTGTTGAATTTCGGAAACAACGATTTAAAACTTTTTTATTCGATAAAAAATTTTCAGCATATCAATAGCTTTTTAATTTGGAAATCAATACATATCAACTCCTATGATCAATGATGACTGCATTAAAATCTATGGTGTAATTGAACAACTGGAAGCGTCTAGTGATATTAAACCAGTTCTATTCATAGTCACATTAAATCTTGTATAAATGATTTGTCTCCAACTTGAATTTGCACAATCATATATTTTTTAGGCTAAAACTTATGTGCATTGAAGTTAACTCTCAACTTCATGTTATGAAGCTAATATGGTATCAAGTCTCATATATATAAGATAATATAAATTTTCTTGAAATTTAATTATTATAATCCATATGAACCAATGAGATCAGATATAACAAGCTTCGTGTTTGTCAAACATATTTGATTGTAAATACTCAGCTGAATCTAATATTATTTTTCAGTTTGAAGTATTAAAGAATGTAATAATTCAAACTATCATTGTGAATTTCACTATTACAAGATATACAGAAGATTATTACATCATTCAGTTAAAGTAAACATAACTAATTTGTGAGAAAATATCATATTTTTACAATTATCCAATTTTCAATCTTATGTAGTGTATTGTGTTAACCTTTGATGCATGATGTAATCCACTCATTTTAATTAGCTATTATGATAGTTTTAAAAATTTTTGGTAATTAAAATATGAAGTATTTCAATTATCATGATTATGTATATAATGATCATCATGGTTCGGATTTCAAGTTACTCACTGAATTCAATCTAACAATTGCAATTGTCGCACAATATAAAACAATTTGAAAACTACTTACATGCTTTTTATGATTTTATATTGCTTAATTATGTGGAATGTGACATTCTTCATAGGGTTTTCATATTTTACTTTCTTGATTCATAATTTCATCATGAAACTACATCATGAATTTATGTTAAAGAATTGGAAGTTTTTCATGCATCAAACTCTTCATACAAGATGTTTATACTTGATGGACCCAATCATGGCTTTCGAAGTACTTGAACTTCAAAGTTGGCAAAATGCGTTAGTCTTGTTGGCTCTTCTCCCACCTCCCGCACCATGTGTGGTAGATGTGGTCTGCTCCTTACCAAATATCAGGCCGTTTAGACAGGTGTACAATCTGCAGCTGTTTGTTTGTAGAACGTTCCAACTACATTTACTCGAATCTTGATAACATCGTACACTCGTTTGCCTAAAGTAAAACATGTGCTACTTTTATTCAACAAATTGATTAGAGGGTTAAAGAATCCTTCTAAAATCCGTAGAAAATGGCTCAAAGCCTTGTTTCTTCTGTTTCTGCCAAGTGCAGCGACGCGCCTTTCACACGTTTGAGGTCCGCGATATCTGGCAGGAATTCCGCAGAACCGAGATTTCTGGCGTGACAGTCGAGATCACAATCAAAAATTTACGAGCCGTTATTGAGACACGACGCATTACGTTTATAGAATAAGTAAGTTTACGCGTAATCGCCCGCGAATACTTTGCCAGCGTCATGGGTGCACACAAACAAGCACGATGTTGGGACTTACCGGTGCCTTCGAGTGCTACTGAAAACTCCATAGAAAACTCTGGACAGTCGAAACAGAGACGTGGTCGCTTTCTTATTGAAATCTCGACAATACCTAGTTCATTCAACGACTAAATTTAAGATTTGGACGATTTACAAGACCAAGCACCCTATAATCAAACCCGATGCAGCTGTTAATCAGTACCTCTACCGGTGAATTGAGGAAATGACGTGGAACGAACGATAGACTAGTCTGGAATCATAGACTAGATCTCTTACGACAACTAGTACCGAGCCAAATAACATATCCGAGAAACCGGGCCTCTCACAAGTCAGCGACCGATCGGCAATCCTTGTGAAGGCTGCTTCATATCCTCTCACTGGCCTGTGGCGGTAATAGACTTTTTACATGACAAGGATTACAACGTCAGAGCGCCTTGCTCCCACTTTCTAACAGAGAAGTTAGCTTTTCGACAGCTTTAGTCTCTCGAGTAAGAGAGACACGTGTCAAACATACAGAGCCAGCAACATTCAAAGTAATCATAATAGACTACCACAAAGGGCATACGAAACTCTCATCTAATCCTGACTAGACAATGATATCTGAGTAAACTTACGGGGACTGGGCTCCTTGAAGACTCGTGATGATGTATGTGGTAGACTACTGTCTTCAATAACTCTTCATTCTAATTTAAGGTCCAACGTTCCGTGTTGTACATAATGGATGACGACGGATATAGGATTCAGAAGGGACCCAACACAGGGTACTACTGAAAACTTAGATAATACTGGTGGCTTGTGTACCACTATCACCCGTGAGAGGTAGACATTGAGGAGCTGAAACATGCCAGTACTAAATTTCCATTCTCCTCCAGAAAGCAAACCTAGGAAACACTTGATTGCTTTCAGATGCCCAAGTTCAGCATATCCTAAAGTTACAAGCCCCTACTCAATGCAACGCCAACTACAGTTACAGTTTGATGAAGTATGACCAGAAGTCACCTGATCAACTTGTGTCCAACCCCTGACGCACACAAACTGAGAATGTGATTTTATCAGTATACAGCTAAAACATTTGAATGACGGGACCATAAAACAAATCAAGCAGTTTGAGCAACGATATTGAATAAAACCATACTATGAAGTCAAGCTAGACTAAGAATTTGGTCCTTACAGAGGAAGGGAACAGGCACGCGTGTTTTGCAAAGACAGCACCACTCACAACGCATGATACAGAGCACACCGAGAACTTGTATGGTCACCGCATCTCATACTTTTAAACGGTTGAATTAAGAGAACCAGCTTACCTCGGGATCTTTCGCAAAGTGATACGTTCTCAAGTGGCAGAAAGCTCTTTTTGCGTGAGGGTTCAGACTGAGAATTGCCCCTCATCAGTTCCACAGCTGCATTCCATCGTGCGTAGACTAATTCTTCATGGTATACTATAAGGTAGCCATAGCTCTGGACACCCAGATCCAGCTTGGTACCTCCGATCTCCACAACTCCAAAGCCTAAGCACTGCTTGACTGTTGACTTACGGGCAACCCTCTAGAATATGAAGGGCCTTCTACTACACTCTTAACGGTCCAAGAGGGTTAACAATATCTTGGTGGCTATTTTGCTCTGTAATCTTACTGTAGTAAAGTGGGACGGCAATCTTTGACAATAAATCACTCACTGCAACGAGGCCCATCGGCAGATGGACTTGCACAGTAGACCTTCTGACGAGGCCAAGGAGTTTCAAAACACGTAAGAACTATTTCCTGAAGTAACAGCGAAGTGCTGTAAGTCTGAATTTTGGGTGACAAACGGGAGGAGATCATCAAGGAAGGAATCCACTCTACGAATCATGCAGTACCGCAATCACTTGCTCTCGAGCAACTTCAGGGGATAGAAGCTGAACTGGCTGGATAATATCTGCGTGATCCAATCAACCTACAGCTTCCGAACCCATTACAGATATCTAGTGAGTGTCTTCTAAGGTACAAAATTTCTTCTACATGGCATGGACTTCCAACACGAGGTCATGAAGCTCCGGAAATGCTGAAACCAACAGCATTTCAAGCAGACTGAAGGCAAGCTGCTTGATACAAACTCCAGATTGTAGGAAGAAGTATATGTCAGTAGCACAGCGCTTGTACTGCTTACTTCCAATCAAACTAACAAGACCAGCAGGAGCACGGTCGAGAATGATCTCCCGGACGACTCCAGCGCGCCGAGCTGCTTCCAACCTATGCTCGAAACTTTCAGCCTGGCCGTTGGTGCCATTGTGGTTGTTGGCCTGTTGTCGTGAGGGATGTTTGGTAAGAAAGACGCCATCCGGCCATAATATTCTGTGGAGCCATCTAATTCCACTTGCAACAACCTCCTCTTTCCTAAGCCACTGGATCTTTCCCAGCAGAAAGTCATCTATGGCATCACCCATGCCTAGCGTAAGAATTTGCTTCGCCATCCAGAAAACTTGCCGTCGAATCCAGCCTCTACCCTGCAACTCAAAGATCCCATCCACCAGGTTGAGGAGCGGTACACTCACTTTTGGCGGTCCCCAATCTGGGGGAATGGCAAGATTATCATCCTCCGCCATATCTGAACCTGCAAGAGACCCTACCGGGGAATGACCCTCGGATAAAGCCCGCTCTTTTCCATCGTATAACTTGTTAACGTCAAAGTTGCTGCGTGCATCTCTATGTGCCTCCAACCCTCCCGATTCTGATCCTAACGGGCTTCCTGCAGCTTGTCCTGAAGGTTGTAGATCATACTCAGAGCGCCAAGCCAAATTCCCGACGTTCTGTGGAAGGTCGTAATGAGCTGGATACAAGCTATCATCCTCCCAATACATCTGCTGAGAAGCTGCCTTCTTATCCGCTGCAATACCCATGGGCCGGCTGCTGACGCCGTTCGAAACTGGTAGAGTTAGTATCGGTAGGTGACTGATGTTGGGATTGTTGTTGGCAATTTGGGTATTGTAGAAACCAGCACGCTGCCGCAGGTCAGGCGGAGCTGTCTTCAGCTTCTCTTGGTTGTTTTCGGACATGTTACGAAACTGCCGGAACATGTCATCCACAGCATCATCCACATTGGATGTCAATGTCTTGAACATAGACTGGGATTCTCCAAAACCATAAGTTTGAGAATTAGCACTCAGGAAGTCCCAAACCTCATGGAGCTCAGCTAAGCTTGGAATGGACAGAAGATCCTTCAGATATTGATCCAGAAGGGCGCAACGTTCGCGGATGAGCGAGTTGTCCAGATTTGAGGACAAAAACCGCTTGGATGGTAAACTGAGAGAGTAGTAGGGCTTGTCCTTGAGACTACGATGGAGCTGTTCAAAATTTCGAAATCGTCTTTGCACCTCCCAGGTACGATTGTGTCCATCTGGACCATCTGTGACAAAGATGGAATACACGGCAAATGTTTTATTAGCAGCACTCTTTTCGAAATGGGCACCCACCACATCAACCTGTAGCTGGCTGGTCCAGCTTGTCTGAGTGGCGAGCGGTAAGTTCTCAGGCTGTGCAGACTCCATAAAAGTCCGCTTTCCTCCCACTCTCCGGACTGCACATTTTCGCCTTGGATCGTAACCAGTAGCGTCTCCGGCTTTCAACATGCTGGGAATTCCTTCCTGATGGTGCTGCTGCTCCAGATCCTGCCAACCATCAAGCAGTCCTCCGCTGCTGCGAGATTTTCTCATAGGCACGACTTCTTGCTCGAACCCATGTGCTCTCGAGGGATTACTCTCCACCTGCTCCGTCCCAGCCAGACTGACTCCAGCAGATTGTTGGCTCACAGGCCGCAGCTCCACTAACTCAGTAGTCTTTCCGTCAGGTTTTTTGGGTTTCACTTGCGGCACCGGGGGCTCCACAGCCAGGGGATGAGAAACTGGCTGCTCCTTGGTGATATTCGTTTCCTTGGGTTTCACTGCAGCCTTGTTGAGCTCTCGTTTTTTGTAGTTGCGTCCCTTGGTCCAAAGATTGTCCAGATGCTCAGGAGCAAGAGCTTGAGTTTTCCTCTGATTCACGACCTCCAACACCTGGGCCCAATTCTCCCTTTGGGACCCCGAGTAACCATCTTTTTTATCGAGAGGAGTACCCCCGGGACTTTTCGCTTCATTTTTCCCACCCAAGTCCGTGGAAGCGCCTCTCGTCAACGATTCGCTTTGTACGTGTTGGCCCTTCGTGGGTGTCACCTCCACCATTTCCAGTCCCGGCTCGGAAGGCTCCTTATATATGGGTGGATCAGGAGCTCGCTTTGCTGGCTTAGACGCATTGGCCTCTACTTTCGGAAGGGGGGCATTCTGACTCGAAATAGCGGCATTTTCAATCTGCATGTTGATGAACGCAGGGCTTGCAATGTTCATGACAGGTCGCATAACAGCACATGCTAGCATTTCCCGGGCCAGGGACCGTAAAACTCTGCAGTGGCCATCACTGGGCTTCAGAACAAGAGCAACTACTCCCCCCATAAGCTTCTGCAGAACTTTCGATTCCGACTCGGCTGAAACAAGCGCTGGATGCAATTCCCCTGTTGCCGCCAGAGCCGACTTGAGATTCTCATCCCTCTCCTCTGAGGACAGAATTCCCAAAATGTCCGCTCCCACTCGTGCCTGCGTTCTCCTGAAAAGCTCTAGGTGGCTGGCCACCAAATCCACAATGTCCTGAGTCAAAAGAGTGATAAGGTTTACCCTCTTAGCCCGCTGCGCCACCTCGCCCAGCACGCCATTTATCAGAGCCATCAGCTCGTCCGGGAATTCCTGGTCCGAGCTGATGGACGAGAACCACAAATTCGTGACCCACTCACTCACAACAGACTTAGTAAGGTCGCTGAGGGCGGCCTCGACCTCTGGAGCTTCCACTCCGCGGCGCCAGAACTCCAACAGCGTATGATTGGCTGATGGAAACTTCGTTGGTGCTTGGCGGCCCCGACCTCGCTTGCGAGAGATCGAGGGAGGGATTGCGGTCGCGAAAGGACGGCTCGATCTCCATCGAACCACGATCTCACCTGAGAGGCAGCGTAATACAGCGATGATAAGAAGGGCGACGGGAATATTGACCCAGAAGGAGTGAGACGTCAAGGACATAGCATAGGCCAGACCTACAACCCAGATTAAAACCAGGATCGTCCGCTTCTTGGCCTCGTCCAGTAGATCCCTCACCGTCTTCATCGTCGTCGGCCCCGGCTTGCTCCAGCCGCATTGCAATTGCAAATCCAGTCGTCTACTGCACTTACTAGGCTGCTGTAAGTGCGAGCCCCAAGTCCACAACTTTATTCGGCCCTATACGAAGCGGAATTCAAGTCGCGAAGACATCGGATCAACACTAACCGGTCCACAAATTTCAAATCCTCAGGTCCCATCGTCCTCCTCGTCGTCGGACATAGCTCGTAGGCGCGATCCCTCCAGATGCCCTCACAGTTTCTCTCCCTCGTCCACACCGGCCAGAACAATATTTCCTCCGTCTTCAGAGAACCACCCAATTCCCCCTCAGATCCCTCGAGCGTCCATGAATCCAAACCAATCCACCACGACTCCCCACAACTCTCCGCTGCACTCAACTCAACACCACTCCACTGCTCGCCTCTCCTCTCCTCTCAGAAACCGCAAACAAGAAAGGCCGCAGTTTTTCAACACTCAATCACTCATGAGTAAAATTCTCATCTCTCGCGTCATCCTTCCTATTCCCAATTTTTTTTCGCTTCGTAACTTTTCCTCCACACCCGCAATCTTCTTCGCGCCCAGACACGCCATCGCTGACCGCGTAACACATGAGCTCCCTGCTGTAACCTTCGCCGCCATCGTCGTCTTCGACGCCCCCACTACCACTACTACCTCCTCGACCTCCATCGATCACAGAGGCAGTCGAGGTTCCTACGCTCACTCAAACCCTCCCTCCCTCCCCATCTCGCATCTGTCGACAGACAGAATACAAACAGATGCCTCCTTCCTCCCGCTTCGCAGGCGGCCAGCCTCGTTCCCTCCCACGGCTCCCATCCATGGCGCCTCGCCTTGACAGCAGCCCGCCACAACGGTAGATCGGAGCGCAGGCTGCCAAGTTAGCGACGCCCTCTGGAGCCTGCCGCCACGTGCCGCTGTACGAAGATCTTGTCGCTGTCGCCACATGTACGGAAGAATTTGGAGTGCCTGCTAAACTCGTCCCGCCAACCGCGTCTCGGAGCCTCCACTTTTTCCCCGACTTTGACCCTGGCCAGGGTCGGAGTTTCTCCTCCTGATGCTCCCGAGCCTGTCGCTCGGGACGACCAGGAAAGCGTAGAATCTTTTGGCATAGTTTGGACCGTTGGGTTGTGTGTTGGGGGATTCCCGCTTCAGAAGGCTCCGAGCGTTGCCGACGGGAGCGTACCGACAGCTAGCATCCGCGAGTTCAGCTGGCCAGCATGAAATCTTCGGCGGAACACACCTCGATTCCCGGGCAGCCCGGCTGACAGATCTGATTGACATATTTTTGAATGAGAACCGCCGATCCTCCATCTCTTCGATGTGAAGCCGGATCTTCGAGGGCCGTGGAAAGTTTCTGCCGGACCGCTGGGGACTTTGTTCTCGCTGACAGACCGTGGTAAAAAAACCTTTCACGCATCTACATCACCTCTGGAGTGAAACGCAAGTCTTCGGACGTTTCTTTCACTCCTGCCTTTGCTGCCCCTCGAGCTCTGAGCTTGCTTGATGTGTCTCAAGAAAGCTGGCCACGAAGAAAGGTAGTGGCAATGTGTGACCAAGTCACACATCTGTGTATGCGATTGCAGTACACACATAATAATCGTTATGCTATTCTGGTTTTTAATATGTGGCATAAAATTGAGTATATTATGTGATATGGAAGAATATCATTGATCAGTCTTATGTGATCGATTTCTTGACAAACAGGATAAGAATTGGTCAATTGTTTATATATAAGTTTCCGAGAATAGCTCACACCTGCCTCTGAATGCATGAGTAAGAATTACTTGCAACTCTGTGGTGCCAAGTTTAGATAGAGTGAACGTTGCAATAGTTCAACGGACGGATACACACTTTTAGGAAATAAAAGGTACTAGAAAGCGCACGGAAGTAGAATGAAATTTTGAGATTCTTTATTTGGCGTATACATTAGCCGGGATTCCTGAAAGTTTGTGCCTGACTCTGTGTATGCAGAGTCTTCACTATCGCTGCAGTACCTTCTTTTCATACAAGCTTACCAGACAACGCCGTGGTTGGCCGAGTGCGATCATTGGCCAATTACAGCGTTATCTTGTTCTCCTTGTGAACATTCTTTCTTGTGGGATGGAATTGATGATAAAGTGGATTCAAACCGTCACAAGCCCAAACGTCAGCTTCTTAGAACTACGTCTTGGCTGTGGAAAGAGGTTATACTTACGCTATGGTTACGAAGCCAAACGGACACTCGCAGCATCGCTGATGACCAAATTGGGAAATTTTGCCCCTAAACCCTCGCACAGAATTTGCACAGAACCCTTAAACGCAGAAACGGATTTCTACTGCTTGTGTATTGATGCTTGATGTGGAAAGATTGATAGAATTGCTCGACTTATTCAATGTTGCCGCGTTCCACGCACGGGTAGTCGGATATGAAATATCAAGTGGTCGCCGGTAGAAAGTAGCCGTAAACACATAATGGCTAGAAAAGGGAGGACTCCATGACACAAGATACATACACACATATAAACTTCTGCAGTAAGACGAAATGATACTAGCCTCTCAGTGGCACCTTTTCAGAATCCTTTAATAGTAAGATGGACAGGAGCAAGTCATTTTACAGGCAAAGATGGACGAGAAGTTACGGCATCCTTCCGGGTAGGTTGTACTTAGTTACCTTCTTCAGAGGACTTCTTACCTATATCGTGTACAGTTCCTACCATCCATGTAATTACCAAACAGCATATACAGTAGTTTCCCGACTAAGTACGCACCTTGATGCTGGGAGGATTGTGCGTACTTTGGCAAATCACTTCCTAATAGAAATGGGATAATCTTTCAGAAGTATTGCCGATAGATCGATAGGAGAACCTGGAACTACATACATGTTATACTGGAGTGTGTGTGTATATATATATATAACATACCATGATAGTTCCCGTGAAAGAATAATCATCGAGACGAGACATAGGAAAAATCTACCACCAATCATTAGTAAACTTACGAAAGATTTAGATCTATTTAATCATATAATTTTTAGATCTCTTTTTCATTTAAAAAATGGAATAAAATTATACAGAAATTGATTAGGCATGTCTATAACTTTATTATGACACAATTTTTATTGGGGTGAATCATTTCTTAATATTTTGATTCGATAGCAATATAAAAGGAACCAATACTAAACTACTAAATGAATCTCAACCATGTGATATAAATTGAGCAACATTTCTAATAAAAGTTATCTAGCTCGCGAGTACAATGTTGGTGAAACAGCTATAAAAAATATGTGTGAGACAAGCGGAGCAAATCCTAAATTGACTTAATATTTGGTGAACCTAAAGAGATAATTTTTCAATCCAATTGGTTATTTCATTGAGTTTGAGAAAATGCATTACATTTTGGATTGAAAGCATGCGTAGGGCAAATTTTCCTATTCACCATCACCAAACCAAAAGGTATTGTATTAAGTTTATCAATTTCGGCAAGATCAATGAAAGCGCCAAGAGGAGTGCAAAAGGTGCTACTTCTCGCAGAGAGGATTGCTGTTAGCCAATCGGATCCTGTATTAATGAAAGCGTTAGATAACCTTTACGTGTTTATTGCCCAATATGATCTTGAAAAGTATATAATATGGTCCATACTGGTTAGTTTTTATCTACTACTACCAAAATATAGATTCCTAATGTCATAATATCAACCAAAAATTTGTTGCCAGACTCAAAAATCTTCAACACTTCGGCAAAATCACAATATATGACATTTTGAATTGAATAAATCTTGATCCTCATTTCAGTAAAATTGTACGTACTTAACCGGGAGGGTACTATACTATCATGTGCACCCATTCGTGTTATACAACGCAAGCAAAATTAAGAGCACCTCCTTACAAGCAAAAGGATTTTAAACGACGGAGGGTGGTTCTTCATCTCTGTTCCTCCTTTGGATCGCCCTTGCTAAATTGCAAGGGCGATTGGGCAGTATTCCTGGAATGGTGAACAAATATAGACCTAAACGGTCGAGTATAATTCCATGGGCATGAACTAAACTGCACGCCGCTTCTAACTCAATGCTGTCTTAATTAAGCCCTGGGAAGGAGAGTCAGTTGTGACACGACCCTCGAGGCCAAGTGTGTAATTAATCGCTCGTGAGAGTCGCCAATTACGGTCATCATAGTGATATATCGTGGTTGGCCTCTGACGACTTGCTTTAGTGGTGCATTCTCTCCTGGGCCTGAAAAGGACAGTATTGGCAGCATTCACTTTTCAAGGTTGTGCAAAATAGCCAAAGATGCGTTGTGAGCTCGTTCCGAGAGTTCCTGTTTAGAGCCCTTGGACCCTGCAAAGGCCCCACATCTAAGCCGCACCGCCAAATTAGGGGCAATATGAAGCCTTCCGTCGTCATGTTAAATAAAGGCGAGAGCGAGCCTCCAGCTAAAATTCTGCCCTAGATCCACCACGGCATCCGCTTTGCATGGTAAACTAAACCGTGTGTGTGTGTGTGTGAACCCCAGTTCAATCCCCGAGTACCTTGCAGTTAAATGTTGTACCCCTCTTTCAACTTGGCTTGGTAACAACTAGGCAGATAGAACACTGTCTAATTGTTACTACCTGCATCCTAAAGTAATTTGGGACGCTTAATGTGGGGTTTTGGTTTTAGCAAAGTGGTAAACAATAATATCAAGTCAGCTGATTAGTGTGACCACTACGATGAGATGTAATCGCAATCATATAATGTACTGTCTTTTTCGCCACAGTTATTCTCTCCAGAAGTATGGCGAAGAGGTTCAACTAGTACGTTTCACTAATCTCAAGCATCAGTCGCAAAGCTCCTTGACAATTAGCAACTTTGACAAGCTCCAATTAGCAACTTCGCTTTTCATTTCGTCACGTCGTGCGGTTTCAACAGAACCAAAGACCTCAAAGATGAAAGCCAAACCAAGCAGAGCGCACATTTCTCTTGAAGCGGACGGAAATCAAGGCCACTGTTCAGTAGGTATACAGTGAGCAGTAAGAGTATGTGAAATGACCGTGTATAGAGTGAGCTCATGGAAATCGAGAGGGAATAAATCTGGATTTATGCGGAGTGCATGAAGGGGTACTGCGTTGTTGCTCCCGCTGGAAAACACCACTGCAAGGCGGGCAGGGCGTTACCGCGTGCATGCCTGCGAACGTGCCGATCAGGGGCAAGGCCTTACACGGACCACGTTGGCGATCCTGGCACATGTTTGGTGAAACCAAACAAAAGGTTCCTCTCCCTCTTATGTTCGTCCCGCCTCTGTGTGCCACGCTGTTCTGCCAGCTCTCTGCCAGCTGTCCGCCCGCCTTTGATTCAAATGCTCTGGCCTATTCGCTCAAGCAACTGCGCTCACTGTACCGGGTCGAATGCATAGACCTTCCGGAAACCGACGCAGTGGTCCTCGCCGAGACCGGAACATCCCCTTTTTTGTCCTCGCCGAGACCGGAACATCCCCTTTTTTAACCACGGGTGAGGATATTCGGATATTGAGGACATTCGTCTTTTTTCTAGCGAATTGTTTCTGGTTTGATGTTTCTGCCGTGCCGTTTCAGTCGAGGGGTGGTCATTAGGTCTGCCGCTTCCGTCATCGCTGACAAGGGTTCCGTGTTCAAACAATGTTTGCCTGCTATTATCATTTCGAGTGCGAGTGTAGCCGTTGGTTTTCAAAGGATTGAGCTCGCACTCGCTCGAACGCCACCGTCATTACTGTGTCGTACCTGTCGAGTCTATAGGACTGGATTTCTACTCCAGGCAATTTTAATGAGTACATCGGCTTT